TGTCCAGGTCTGCGGCCACGGATCGTCGCGCGTGGAGAAGCCCCATACTGGACATAATTGAGACCGGCTAGATCAGTCATGATCGCAGCCGTAACAGGTTCAAGTACTTCTCGGGTGAAATTTTGCACGCCGGTAAGTGCTAATTGGTGGCTTAGCTTAATGTTATCGGATATGGCAACGAGACTTGAATGCATCAACGGAGACGTTAACGACTATCCTCGTCATCAGAAAGCCAGACAGAGGATCGACTGTTCTTGTTGTTGTTTGTCACGATACTTAAATGAATAAGTGCAGGGACCACGCGGAAAACCCCATAAGTGACGAATAATTATCATTGATTCCAGTAAGGTGGAACTTGTGATAAATGCATCATCGAGGATGAAAAACAAAATTTTCGTTTGCTTGTATCCGTATCACACTAATGACAGGACTGAGCTGGTTCACCTAAGTACCCAAGTAACTGTGGGTATGGATTGTGTTTCACGTAGAGCAACCAGAAAATGGAGAATTGAGTGAGTATACCACAAGAGGTTCCGGATTACGACTGGCCTTGAAGTGGGAGTTACAACTCACTAGTACATAACGGTGGGTCCTGCGTTATTTCATGATAAGCAAAATTCATTGTACATTGCTTCTTACATTGGTACCCACTTTGTAGAAATCTCACTTATCAGATAGACGCTCGTCCAGTATTGAGTTCGTGATCAGCAACTGCTGCGGCCCGACTGTAGAAGGGGTAATAATTTTGAATAGTTGATATTTGTTAGCTTGGACAAAGGCCTTAAAGGAAATTTTGTCCCCCCAGATTCCGAACTTCACAGTTATAGTCACACTCGCTCACCGGCCATGGCGATACAGACCTCAATTGTGCTTCTACTTGATACGGCTTTGCTCCTAACTGACCTAAGATTTCGTGGATTATACGCCTTCGCTATTGATGATATGCAAAAAGAAATATAGAGAACCCCACTCACTGCCTTCTCCTGTGGCGAAGACCGAATAACGAAAGACAAAGTCACTTTCAAGTCTTTATGAACTGCTTATAGCAGTTTTCATCCGAACTCTTTATCGCCTCGAGATAGGCCACATCATCAGATGGGGCAGCAAAACTGTACCTATCGGATGGACGGCCAATACTGTGTCTGAAATGTCCTTGCAATGTTGTTTCAGAGTGTGGACTGCCAAATTTTAGACGAGGTCAATGTAGAACACTCGAAGAATGGTAAGCAGGCAACTGTGGTCTAATACCTTTACTTTCGGGTTGCCTTACGAAAGCGCAATAGTTTGACTGC